TTATGGGAAGAATTCACCAACTCCGAGACTTGAAAGACTATCTATTTTTACGTGATTGTTGTAATTTTCTATTTTATCTTGTGTGTCGTAATATTTAAATTTTCATTTTGCATGTTGTAATTTCTAATTTTATCATGTGTGTTGTAATTTTTAATTTTTCATCTTGTGTCTTGTAATATTTAATTTTATTTTTGTGGCGAAATTTCAATTTTTAATGAATATTTATTTCTCCCATTTTATTATGCATAATTAATTTTAATTACATAAAGTCCAAATTGAATTTAAAATAATAGTGTGGTTTAATTTGCAAAGTTGTAAAATAAGTGGGTAGTATTGAAAAATTATAAAAGTTGGTGTAAAAGAGAATATTCTGGGAATATTCTTTTGGGTTTGAGAATGAGTTTTTCGGTTGGAGATGAATTACTGCAAAATGGGATAGTTACTGCAAAATGGGTTTGAGTTTGAGTTTTTCGGTTGGAGATGGCCTTAGAGAAAATCAAACTTCTTCAAATAGAAGTTCCTCTTCAGGATCTTACACACACACGAAAAAAAAAAGAGAAAGAAAGAAATGAGAACATAATAGTAATATTCAAATAATGATACATATAACATCTTATATTAACAATATTAACCCGATTATGGTGATTCTGAAGTCCATGGATACTTCATACCCAATCTTATATTAACATAGAAGCACGATGATTATTAATCACTCTTCCGCCGAAACTGAAAGTGGACTCGGAAGCCACAATCGTAATAAGAATAACTAATATATCAGCCGCTATCTTAGATAATCTAGGTTACTTAATTGATTTACCATCCACTAATCAAGAGCATTGAATTGGCAAGTTGAATCACAAAGCAAGATATCTTCCTCAACGTAAGCATTCAAATCAGATTTCAAAGGCTTTATCCCCACCCCCCAAATGAGTCAAACGTGGACTTCCCGGTAACAACAATTGTCCCATTTGACTGTATCACCCCGTTCGAATATTGATTTTTTTCGATTATTGAATTATCGTAATTCCCAATTAAAATACCAGCGACTTCCCAATTAAAATAGGACTACACCAGAGGTCAGCATTGAGCCCTTATTTATTTGCTTTGGTGATGGATGAGGCCATAAGGGAGATACAAGGTGATATCCCTTGGTGTATGCTCTTTGCTGATGATGTGGTGCTAGTTGAAGAGAGTAGGGCAGGGGTAAATAGGAAGTTAGAGCTGTGGAAGGAGGACACATTAGAGTCGAAAGGCTTCAGACTTAGTAGGACGAAGACCGAGTACATGACGTGCGCTTTCAGCATGGCTACTCATGATGATGGTGACGTTAGCCTTGACGGGCAAGTGGTGGCCAAGAAGGGACTTTCCGGTATTTAGGATCGATGCTACAAAAGGATGGCGACATTGATGAAGATGTTAGGCATAGAATTACAGCCGGTTGGTTGAAATGGCGTCAAGCTTCAGGCGTTCTCTGTGATAAGAGGGTGCCACAAAGGCTAAAAGGTAAGTTCTATAGGACGACGATTCGCTCGGCGATGTTATACGGTGCTGAATGTTGGCCTACAAAAAGACAACATGTCCAACAACTAAGTGTAGCAGAGATGCGGATATTGCGTTGGTTTTGCGGGCACACAAGAAGGGATAGAATTCGAAATGAGGATATTCGAGATAGGGTCGGGGTGGCTCCAATTGAGGAGAAATTGGTTCAACATTGGCTGAGGTGGTTCAGACATGTCCAACGGAGGCCTCCTGATGCACCTGCATAGGGGAGTTCCACAGCGGGCCGATGTTGTTAAGAGAGGTAGAGGTCGGCCTAAACTCAGTTGGGAAGAGTCGGTTCAGAGAGACCTTAAAAATTGGAATATCTCCAAGGATTTAGCGGTGGATAGAAGCGCTTGGAGGCTAGCGATCAACGTGCCGGAACCGTGACTTTTGCTCCTTTCTCTTTTGCTCCAATCTTTTCCTTTTGTGTTGTTTTTGTTTTGTTTTGTTTTGAACTTTTTTTTTACCACTGTTTCTATTGGGTTTCATCTCTAGCCTACCCCACCTTGTTTGGGACTAAAAGGCTTTGTTGTTGTCGTATTGAATTATCGTAATTATTTTATTTGGTGTATTTTCAGTAATTGCTCGACACACCTCGTTTGCACTTATTATATTTAATTGGATATTCATGTCTAATTAATATAATAAGTCGTATAATGCAATTATATTTATTATTCGACGTCAATCGAATTGTTCGATTTTCCTCGGATATAATCATCGACTGAATTGGAGTTTATTTCCATCCCATTTGTATTATTTTTGGCCCAATGATATTGGTTAGCCCATTTGAATTAAAAAGGATCCTGCAACCCTTCTTTTCACGAAGTATGATCGAATATCTCCATTTGAAAGCCAGTTGCGATTTTTGCGAGAGATTTTCTATCACGATCGACCCCTCCCCTTTGCTTAAGTATTGTCCAGATTTCCATTTTTCCATCTTCATCAAATCGATCGAGAATTTTTTTTTTCCCCATGCTCTGATACCAAACTGTAACGCTTGATTATCAGTTGGTATTACTCTGAAGGTTATCGGGTCTAGTTCTCTTATTCATGTTATGAGCAATGACATAAGTTTCATAAAGCTCATATTAACTATTTTTTAACCAACTCAATGTTTACATCTGAAGCATCTTCATAAAGTACGAGAAAAGAAAAATTAACGTAAGTTTTTATCACATATTCAAAATGGCACTAAAAGAGAACAACAAATTACATTCTCCCTAATATTTGTCAAACTTGGAAGTTATCGCTTGTGCCACAACTTTTATATTCGAAGAACAATACCGCTACATACCCCTCCAACTTATACCGCATCAATTAACTCCCTGACGTGTCAATATAAGTCATTACTTTTTTTTCTTAATTCTGTCCAAGAAAAATAAGACTTTTTTTAAGTTGAGTTAATTATAAAAAATTGTATCCGTAACCTACCGTCGTAACCCCTAACTTTCACTATCTACATCCATAACCTACAAATATATTGTGCTTCTCTGCCACAACTTCCATTGCTATCAGGTATGTTTACGGTTCCACAACTTCCCCATCTCTTTTTTTTTTTATTTACATTATTATACTATTTTGATTACAATTTTAGAGTTTAGAATTTGGTGTACACAACAATCTACATACGGGTACTGTTGTTGATATATATCAATTTATCTTATTATATTAGTTTTTTTCTAAACTTTTTTAGATATTAATTAGAACTTACTGTTTCAAAATAAATGTTAATTGTTATTATGTCTACTAATTTGAGGATTTTAAAATTAATCTATGTGTGTTTAATTTTATGTTGGTAATCTTTAACATTCTATGATTTTTTACTCGTACAGAGAATGAATGAAAATGAGATTATTGAAGAACCCAGACTAGGGATGGTTTTTGGATCTCAAGAAGAAGCATATTCATATTACTTCAATTATGGGATTCAAAAGGGGTTTGGTGTGATGAAAAGAAGTTCAAAACGAGGAGATGATGGTGTTGTTAGATACTTTACTTTTGCATGTGTTAAGAATGATCAGAAGAAAAAATCTACGGGAAGAGCTCATTTGCCTCCAAACTTTCAACTAAAACGAGTTGTAAAGCGAAGATAAGATTGACATTGTGTGATGATGGGAATATTCAAGTGACAACAGTTCATCTTGATCATGACCAAATGTTAAGCCCCAGAAAAGCACGCCATTTTCGATGCAACAGAAAGATAGATGATTGTGTGAAAAGACGGCTCGAAATAAATGATGAAGCTGGGATTGGTGTGAGTAAGAACTTTCATTCTCTTGTTGTTGAAGCTAACGGATATGAGAATGTTACCTTTAATGAGAAAGATTGTCGCAACCATATCGAGAAAGCAAGAAGAAGTAAGCTTGGTGTTGGAGATGCTGAAGCAGTTCACAAGTATTTTGCCCAAATGCAAGAAATCGAGAAATAATTTCTCTGTCACGGACATAGATGAGGAATCTCGTATTAGAAATTTGTTCTGGGCAGACGGGCGAAGTAGGGCTGCTTATGAAGCTTTTGGAGATGTGATCATGTTTGACATGACTTACCTAACTTTTTTACCTCATCAATTAACTCCTTGACGTGTCAATATAAGTCATTACTTTTTTTTTTCTTAATTCGGTCCAAGAAAAAGAAGAATTTTTTTAAGTTGAGTTAATTATAAAAAATTGTCTCCGTAACCTACCGTCGTAACCCTGACTTTCACTATCTGCATCCATAACCTACAAATCTATTGTGCTTCTTGGCACAACTTTCATTGCTATCAGGTATGTTTACGGTCCCACAACTTCCTCATCTTTTTTATTTATTTACACTATTATACTATTTTGATTACAATTTTAGAGTTTAGAATTTAGTGTACACAACAATTTACATACGGGTACTGTTGTTGATACATATCAATTTACCTTATTATATTAGTTTTTTTCCAAACTTTTTTTAGATAGTAATTAGAACTTACTGTTCAAAATAAATGTTAATTGTTATTATGTCTACTAATTTGAGGCTTTTAAAATTAATCTATGTGTGTTTAATTTTATGTTGGTAATCTTTAACATTCTATGATTTTTTACTTGTACAGAGAATGAATGAAAATGGGATTATTGAGGAACCCACACTAGGGATGGTTTTTGGATCTCAAGAAGAAGCATATTCATATTACTTCAACTATGGGATTCGGAAGGGGTTTGGTGTGATGAAAAGAAGTTCAAAACGAGGAGATGATGGTGTTGTTAGATACTTTACTTTTGCAGGTTTTAAGAATGATCAGAAGAAAAAATCTACGGGGAAGAGCTCATTTGCCTCCAAACTTTCAACTAAAACGAGTTGTAAAGCGAAGATAAAATTGACATTGTGTGATGATGGGAATATTCAAGTGACAACAGTTCATCTTGATCATGACCATTTGTTAAGCCCCGGAAAAGCACGTCATTTTCGATGCAACAGAAAGATAGATGATCGTGTGAAAAGACGACTCGAAATAAATGATGAAGCTGGGATTGGTGTGAGTAAGAACTTTCATTCTCTTGTTGTTGAAGCTAACAGATATGAGAATGTTACCTTTAATGAGAAAGATTGTCGCAACCATATCGAGAAACAAGAAGAAGTAAGCTTGGTGTTGAAGATGCTGAAGCAGTTCACAAGTATTTTGCCCAAATGCAAGAAATCGATAAAAAAAAATTTCTATCATGGACATAGATGAGGAATCTCGTATTAGAAATTTGTTTTAGGCAGACGGGCGAAGTAGGACTGCTTATGAAGCTTTTGGAAATGTGATCACATTTGACACGACTTACCTAACTAATAAGTATAAAATGCCTTTTGCTCCATTCGTCGGCGTGAATCATCATGGGCAATCTGTATTGTTTGGTTGTGGGTTGCTGACAAATGAAGGCACAGAATCATTTGTGTGGTTGTTCTAGTCGTGGCTAAAGTGCATGTCTGGTTTTCGTCCTAAAGGTATTATCACTGATCAATGCAACTCTATGAAAAATGCGATTGAAATTGTTTTTTGTGATAGTACTCGACACAGATTGTGTTTATGGCATATAATGAAAAAAATTCCAGAAAAAATGAGTGGATATTCCAACTATGAGGACATCAAGAATTTCATGCAAACAGTTGTTTATGATGCCCTCACTGAAGATGAGTTTGACAATGGATGGTCAATGATGGTTGATGGCTATAATCTTCATGATAATGAATGGCTGCAGAGATTATATGCTGATAGAAAACGTTGGGTTCCTGCATATGTGAAAAGTTCATTTTGGGCAATTATGTCGACCACACAGCAAAGTGAAGGTATGAATGCTTTTTTTAAAGGGTTTGTCAAGCATAAAACCACTTTGAAGCAGTTTATTGCTTTGTATGAGCAAGCCTTGAAAAGAAAGGTCGAGAAAGAGACTGTAGCAAATTATGAATCTTGGAATTCTCGATTTGATTGCTTGAGCAATTATGATATTGAAAAGCAGTTTCAAAGTGCTTATACAAATGTGAAATTTAGAGAATTTCAAGATGGGTTGAGCGATAAATTTTATTGTCAACCTTCTTTAGTTAAGATTGACAATTTTGTATATGAGTATAAAGTTGAAGAAGATGTAAAAGTTGGCAACATCAGAAAAGATGTTACTTTTATTGTCTTTTTTGATGAATCTACTCATGAAGTTAATTGCATTTGCCGCTTGTTCGAGTTCAGAGAAATTCTTTGTAGGCATTACCTATCAGTGCTAATTGCAAGGAAAATAAATGAAGTTCATCCTCGCTATATTTTGTCACGATGGAGAAAGGACTTAAAACGAAGATATACTTTAGTGAGGATCAGATACAATCCTTTGCATCAGTAAATGCAGCGATGTGAAAAAATGTGCAAGGCACTCCATGAGGTGGTTGTTATTGCTACGGACGATGATGAAAAATTTGAATTGGTGATTAAAGGGATATGAGAATTGAAGTTAAAAGTCACCAATGATCACTTTGACACTGTTCAAATATTTTCTTCAGAGCCACGAGATTATGTTGAGCAACAAAAAGTGGTAGGTAGGACAAATAAAGTATTGAGTTATCTGGTCACTCGAGGGAAAGGGCGTCCTGCAATAAAAAGGAAACTTTCAAGATTGGAAGTTGTGGTTCAGAAGCTGAAAAAAAAAGAATCAAAATAAGAAGCTTAAGGAGACCGAAGCAAATAGATTAAAATCCACAAAGGTGTAAGTGAAAAATATTTTTATATTTTTATTTTAATAATGCATATAGATTAACATTTTAAACATATTTTTTGATAGGCATCTACAAAAACATTGGAAGCCAATAGCATATTTGGTCCAAATCCTTTTGATGCTATCTCTAGTAATCTTGTGGTATAGTACATTTAACTACAAACATTATTCTATTTTTATTGTTAATCTATATAACTTTTGAATCATGATATTTCTATGGTTTTATGTAATAATTGATAGGCTAGTCAAGTTCCAACTTCTGGAGGATATTACATGTCAAGGCCACCAGATTCATGCATTTACCCCAGAAATAGTTCAATTAAATTACAAGAAAAGGTATACTTTCATTAACTTGTTTTTATGGGCGTTGATGATTTTTAAGAGGTCTTACAACAATTCGTGAGACGTCATGGATAACTGGTTTTTTTTTTTAAAAAAAAAAAAAAAATCTAACAACAAACTGAAGCATGACATATTCATTTGTTCATGTATATGAATAGTTTAACCCAATTTCAACCTTTGGAGGGTATTACATGCCAAGGCCGCATGCTTCACCCATTTATCCCGAGAGTAGTTCGATTCAACTTCAAGAAAATGTGTGTAATTTTAACATTTTAACGGCTTACATTACTAAAAAATAGTTCAATTTAATAATTTTGTTTGGTTGAAATCTTAATGTTTTATAGGGTCTTCTTAATCCACTATGGGGTAGAAGTCATGCTATAAGGAATAATAGCATACATGCAGAAAATTTGACAGCAAATTTGACACAGGTAACTATATATGTTACATATTTAATCTAATCTAATTGATATCAAAATATTTGTATAACTCAGTTTTATTATTTACTTGGCTTTCTTAATTCGATCTCTTTTTTTTTTTTTTTTCTTGTTACTTTTGCAGGAAAATCGATGCTTTGATTTAAATGAAGATCAATACCCCACTACATGATCGATTAGTGTATTTCAAGTTTTTTTTCCTGCATAGATAATGTTTTGACTTTATTTTGTTTCCACCCGACTTGAAAATATTATTTATTATATATATATATATATATATATATATATATATATTTGCTATTAAGAATTTCGATATTTATACTTACTGTTTTTCACCTTTTTGGATTGTTAATCTAATGAATGATTTTGGTTGATGTGTGACACTGTTGTTGAAGTTGAAATATATTTATTGCACAACCTGGATTTGTTTGTTTGAATTTTAAATGTTGCTTGTTAAGAAATGAAAACTTGGATTTGGCTCTAAAAAAGTTTCATTGCCAAGAAAAAAAATGGAATTAAGCTCTAAGGAGTGTTTTAAAGGGAATGTTCTCATGTAGGCTTTTGGCTCTTGCCTTTTGCCATGTAATTCTGTTGTTGCACTTTGTGTTAATTAAAAAAAAAAAAAAGTGTTTAAAATAATATGGCTAATGATCACTTCAATCTAAATCTGAAAGTCACTTTTGGTTCTCTTATTCATTAGTACTACATACAAAAGGTTGATGTTATGCAATTCATCCTCCATTCATAGTAACCAGACGACTATTTCCATTCCAATCAAACATGATTACATTGTGATACCATGATCATACACATATATTCACTCCTAAGACTTAACTAACAAACCACATTTAGCTTAAAAATTCATCAGCAAAAGGATCCTACAATGTATTTATCCCAAAGTTTTGCAACATAGAAAATAATATAAATAGAATTCACAATAGCTCCAACGACATCGAATTATCGATCACCATATTCCTTTGGATCTTTTCAAATCGGGAGGCAGCTGGGAATTGATCATACTCTTGGCCTCTTTAGTTGTCGATTCATTCTTGCCAAACTCAAAGCCAACGATTTCTCGTGAACCAATGGAGCTTCATTTCTTGCTTTTAAAATTGCTTCGAGCTCCTCCAGCGTGCGAAGGAAATCCCTCCTGTCAAGAAAAACCAACACCTTTTGTTCAACGGCCGCCCATGACGGCATAATTTGGTCGACGCATCAATAACAAATCCAAGGAGGTGTTATCCCAACCCATAACCATAAACTATAAATCGCTGTGGAACTTTGGGACCTGGCGGTACTGTCTGGTGATGGGGTTGTAGATGTAGAGATAGGGTCTTGACCGGCAGCCGGTGAGGGGAACAAAAACAAGGTCGCCACACGATGCTTGGAGCTTGAAGAGGAATTCAACTCTAAGGTGCCTGTCCCTGCAAGGCTGCAAAGGGGTGAAGGGAGAACAAGTATACCGGGCCATAATAGAGACATTGGATGTGAATCCCTGGATAGAATAAATTGACCTCTCAAGAACACCACTCGAGGCTGCGGAAAAAACGAAAGACAAAAGCTCCCCACGTGATACTGAGGCTTGGGAATCAGGTCGGCAAAAAAATTGAAAAAAAAAACCCGAGGAAAAACGATGGCTATAAACGGAGAAAACGGGAAATTCGTTAGCCGAAACAGCTCCAACCACATTACATCAGTTTTGCTACAATAAGCCCCTTGCAAATACCTAATTTCAACTCAGAAAAAGCTCCCGACACATCACATCAATGGTGTCAATCTCCCCAACTCTCACTCTTACCTTCTTCCTCCTCGCATTCCTCTCTCTCGCCCGACCCACCTTGTCCGCTGGTTCCCCTGCAAATTCTTCTTCTCTTCCTCCGCAGCTGCCCGTCGACGAAATTGGAGGGTTTTGAATCCTCATGGTATTGATTGTTCGAAGAACTTCTTCTTTCTTCCTCCACAGCTCCTAAGTCCTATTCGAAGAACTTCTTTTTCGCCAGGTTTCATTCGATTTGTTGTGGATTTTACAAAGTTTATGAGAGCGGATTTCTTAGGGCTAGAAAATTTGGGGAACAAATTAAGAGGGATTGTAAAAGAGTTAATGTAGTATTGATTGTAAAATAGAGTTCTTTTTTTTTCTTTTTTTTTTTGTATTAATCCACGTCAAGGAGTAGAAGAAAAACGGTAAATAAATGGGGGAAGGAGCATTTTTGTTCGACGAACTATCAAGTAACTTCTCATTTAAGAGCTCTTTTATCTGGTAAAGTTTGGGAAGAAATAAATTTGTTGTTGGATACTCAAAATCCAATATCAATTTAGTAATTTCATGATATCTGCACAAAAATTGAGTCACTCCTTCAACTTTTATCCAGTCATAAGCATCAGGTACATAAAAAAAAACCACTTCAAGATCTCGATAACATGAAAAGACATCCTTTAACTTCTAAAGCGGCAACTAACATCAAATAATCCATTCCATCTAGTTGGACAATCAAGGATCAATTTCTTCCAAGGGCATTGAAGTGATTTCATAGGTTTTTTTTTGAAAAATCATTACAACGAGCCTCTGAACTCCTAATGAACCTAATGTCTTTTCTAACAACTTCCATTCCATATAGTTGGACAATTAAAGATCTATTTTTTGCAAGGTAATTGAAGTGATTTCACAGTTTTTGAAAAATCATTACACCGAGCCTCTGAACTCCTAATGAACTTAATACCTTTCCTAACAACTTCTATAATATCCTTAATATGACCAAGTCCATCTCGAACAAGCAAATTTTGAATTTGAGCACAACATCGAACATGAAACAATTTTCCATTCAACAACAATTTTTTTCTCAACAAAAGATCACCTTTTAATCTCTGAATACAAACATCGTTGTAAGATGCATTATGAATAGTGATAGAAGCCATCTTATCCTCAATCCC